GCTTGGGTCATATAAGCTTGCCTAACACTTTTGTTCATATTGACAAAAGCTTATATGATCCAAGCATATCAAAAACCTCAACTCTTTTACATACTTGAGGTGGTATTGTCATCAATCACCAAAAAGGGGGAGATTGAAAGCATCTAGGCCCCTAATTGGGTTTCGGTGATTAATGACAATACAAAATTACTATAACTAACATGTGTTTTGCAGAGGCAAATAAGTTAGGTCATGGTAATGGAGATCGATCGGGCGATCATGGATGTCATGCCCCTACGATGGAAATCGTTTCGGTTTACAAAAGATGGACGACAAGGTTAAGGATGACTAGTTCTAAGTGTTGACTGGAGTTGGAGAGACACTTAGAGTAGTTTAGGACTTTGTTTTCCTTTGGCCATACTATTAAGGGGGTATGGATAGGTAGCTTGACCTAGGTGAGTCTAGTGAGTTAGGTGTGGTGCACACTTGCTAAGTCTAGCACTAGGTAGCTCCAAAACAGCCCTTAGATCTTGTGGAGCAAACTTCATTCACGTATGATCGAAAGTTAGAAGTGAATGGAGGGTCAAACACTGATCGGACGCTGGCTTCGGTGCGACCGGACGCTGGCTATAGGGTCCGGTCAGTTAGTTTGACTGAGATGAACTAGTCCGGCTTGACCGGACGCTGGAGAGGTCAAGTGACCGGATGCTGATGGGCAGTGTCCGGTCGACTCCAGTAAGGTTCCAGAGAAGAGAATTTGCGACCGGACGCGTCCGGTCAGTACTGACCGGACCCTAAGGGTTCAGCGTCCGGTCGAGTACAGTAAGGTTCAGTGAGGGTTTTATGTGACCGAACGTGTCCGGTCAGTGCCGACCGGACCATGATAGCGTCTGGTCATCACTTAATCATTGGTTCGAGGGTTGAACTGACCGGAGCATCCGGTAAACATGACCGGAGCGTCCGGTCACCCCGCAGAAGCTCATAATGGTTCGTTTTTCAAGCTGCCTTATAAATAGAACCTCCTCTTGTGTGTGGGGGTACTTTTGCTCATTCCAACAGCTGAGAAACATGTTTGTTAGTGCAAAGAAGAGCAAGGTCCTAGTGAGGTGTTCATGATTTGAGAATCCAAGAGTGAAACCTCATTAGTGAATGAAGAGTAGCAAAGTGTGCATCCATCTTCTCATTAGGTTTCGCGTGGTCAAGTGAGAGTTCGTGCTTGTTACTCTTGGTGATCGCCATCACCTAGATGGCTTGGTGGTGATTGGGAGTTCGGTGATAATCCAGAGAGCTTGTGGGTGACCCGACTCAAGATTGTGAGCGGTTGTGGGTGATTCGCCGTGACGAAGTGTCAAAGAATCAACCCGTAGAGAGCACTTGATCCTTGTGCGGATCAAGGGGGAGCGACACCCTTGCGTGGGTGCTCCAACAAGGACTAGTGGGGAGTGGCAACTCTTCGATACCTCGACAAAACATCGCCGTGTTTCCTCTTCTCTCTTTACTTTGAGCATTTACTTTAAGCAATTCAATTCTTGTCATTTACATTCCTAGAATTGCCATGCTAGAGTAGAATTGGAACTAGGTTGCAAGTCTTTTGTGCTTTTGATCAATAGAAACACTTTTCTAGGCACAAGGGGTTAATTAGGCTAACCGTAGGATTTGTTTATTGCTAAGAAATTTAGAATTAGCCCAATTCACCCCCCCCCCTCTTGGGCATCTTGATCCTTTCAGGCTGTAACTCCTGACAAGCAAGGACGAAGCGGTGGTGGCGATCAAGAAGTTCAAGTTGCGCGTGGAGGCTGAGAGTGGCAAGAAGCTCCGTGTGCTGAGGACTGATCGTGGTGGTGAATTCACTTCGGTGGAATTCGCTGCGTACTGTGTGGATCAGGGTGTGGTGTGACACCACACCACGCCATACTCGCCACAATAGAATGGCGTGGTGGAGAGGCAGAACCTGATGGTGGTCGGTATGGCTTGATCCATGATGAAGGCCAAAGGCATGCCGGCAAGGTTCTGGGGTGAGGCGGTGACCACGGCGGTGTTCATCCTCAACCGCTCTCCAACCAAGGCCCTGATGGGCAAGATGCCGTTCAAAGCTTGGTATGGGTGCAAGCCGAGCATGTCCTTCCTCTAGACATTCGACTGCAACGGCCATGTCAGGAAGACAAAGCCGATCCACACCAAGCTAGAGGATAGGAGCACACCGATGGTGTTCCTAGGCTACACGGAGGGTACCAAGGCATACCGACTCTATGACCCATGTGGAGACAAGGTACTTGTATCGCACGACATCGTGTTCAACGAGAAGGCGGCTTGGGACTGGACCAGTCCGAGCATGGGGGAAGCTAGCGGCTTCACCAGCACCTTCGTCGTCGAGCACTTGATCATCCATGGTTGTGGAGACACTAGGGAAGAGGTGTCGAGCGCTCTGGGAGGAGTGCCGAGCACTCTAGCGGTAGAGCCGAGCACTCCTGGGGCAGTGCTGAGCACTTCAGGAGGGATACCGAGACCTCTGGGAGGAGTGTCGAGCACTCCTGGAGGGATGCCGAGCACGCTAGGAGTGGTGCCAGGAGGTTCTGCAGTGGTGGCGACTACTCCAAGACGAGTGTTGAGCACTCCCGTAGTGGAGCCAAGAGGTCTTGCAGTGGTGCCGACCACTCCTAGACTGAGGCTGAGCACTCCTACAGTTGTGCCGAGCACTGTAGGAGTAGTGACGAGCTATCCAGAAGTAGTGCCGAGCACTGCAACCAGGGTGTCATGCACTCTAGGTGCTGTGCCGAGCATTCCGGTGGAATAGGGAACTCCATCAACACTGATTGAGTTCACCTCACCTCCAAGTGACATCATTGAGTTCGTGGATGCCTTCCATGAAGGTGAGGAGGTGTGGTTCCACAGGCTGGATAACTCGGCAGCAGCACAGGGCCCTCAGGCCTGGCTGGTCGGCTACTCAATGATCAAGAGCTACTGCTCATCAGTGCAGAGGAACCACCCACGTTTGAGCTAGCCGAGCACGATGGAAACTGGTGATGGGTGATGCTGGAGGAGTTGAAGGCGATCGTGGAAAATGAGACATGGCAGCTCGTCGATCCACCTCCAGGATGTCGTCTGATCAGCCTGAAGTGGGTGTACAAGGTCAAGCGAGATGAGCTCAGTGCCATTGTCAAGCACAAGGCGCGCCTCATCACCCGAGGCTTTGTTCAGCATGAGGGCATAGACTTCGAGGAAGTCTTTGTGCTAGTAGCACGCATGGAGTCTATCCGTTTGCTACTAGCCTTGGTAGCAGCAAAGGACTGGCACATCCATCACTTAGACGTTAAATCGGCCTTCCTCAATGGTGAGCTGGTGGAGATGGTCTTTGTCAGGCAACCTCCAGGTTTCACCATCAAGGGAGAGGAGCATAGAGTGCTCCGACTACGCAAGGTGCTCTACGAGCTATGACAGGCCCCACGAGCATGGAACGCCAAGCTTGAGGCCACACTAGGCTGGCTTGGGTTTCAGCGATGCGCAACCAAGCATGTGCTCTACACGTGGCGATGGGGGAAGGGGGAGCTCATTATCGGCGTGTATGTGGATGACTTGATCGTCACTGGCCTGCGCATGGAGGACATCAACAGCTTCAAGCACGAGATGGTAGCTCATTTTCGAATGAGCGATCTCGGCGCACTCTCCTACTACCTTGGCATCGAGGTGAGACAGGGGAAGGAGGAACTCATGCTCGGTCAGAGCGCGTATGCCTTGAAGCTATTGGAGTGGAGTGGCATGGCTGAGTGCAAGCCATGCGTGACTCCAATGGAGGAGCGGCTGAAGCTGACGAAGGCCAACACCGCGGTGAAGGTGGATGCAACACTCTACCGGAGCATCGTTGGTGGTCTACGCTACCTAGTCCACATGAGGCCAGACATTACATTCGCCATGGGCTACATCAGTCGCTTCATGGAGGATCCCAGAGAGGATCACTGGGCTATGGTGAAGCGGCTACTGCACTACATCAAGAGGATGGTAGATCATGGGATCATCTTCCCAAAGACCGGCGAGAGTAGGCTGTAGTTCACTGTGTTTAGCGATGCAGACATGGCGGGGGACATCGATGGAAGGCGGAGCACCTCTGGAGTGCTCACTGTGTTTCTTGGCTGTCGCTGAAACAGAAGGTGGTGGCGCTATCTATGTGCGAGGCAGAGTACGTGCAGCGGCGCCACAGCGGCATGCCAAGTTGTGTGGCTACACCGGTTGCTGGGCGAGCTAACCGGTGTGGAACCTCACCCACCAGCACTGATGGTGGACAATCATCCTGCCATCGCCCTCACGAAGAATCCGGTTCTATACGACCGGAGCAAACACATCGACGTGAAGTTCCACTTCCTCAGGGACTGGTCGATGGAGGGCAGATCATCATCAAGTTTGTTGAAACTAGTCGGCAACTCGCGGACATCCTCACCAAGCCACTCGGATGTCTTAGACTCATGGAGTTGAAGGAGATGATCGACATGGAGGGGGTATAAGGGATAGTAGTAGGATTAGGGAAAGAATTGTTAGATAATCTACTCCTTCCTTTGTGAACACACAGCAAGGGAAGGTGGCACCAAAAAGGCCCCCTGCTGTGGTACTGTAGCCGTTGTAGAGGCAGGCGCTGAACGACTCACCTGCCGCACTATAGCCACATGCAGGGATAGGCGCAGAAGTCAGTCCTGCTGTGATATCTAGTCACTGTTGTAGCACGTTAGCTGTATTAGGACTAGATGGATAGAGTTGATAAATAGACTACCACGACAACTCAGTAAATAGAGTTCAGATTTGCCATCTCTCATACAGGGCTTCGGCCAACGCTGGTGTCTTGTACTGTGTGTGTATGCTCTGTTCTCCCTCTTCTTCAACCTCTAGCCATAGTGTGTGTAGTCGGACAGCCTCGGTCGTGCTCAGCCATGGTCGGCAAGACTGGTGAGTGGTTGACTCACCTGAGCCGGTGATCCTGTGGGCTAACACTATCGTCTGTGCTCCCAACAGGCGTGGATGCCTACCTTTCCAAGTTTGCCTTGGCCGGGCACAACCGAGGTGGCCACACGGCCTTCTCACTGGCCCTAGGGTATGCCAACACCAGCACTAGCCTCAAGTTCTCTGTGCTCATCGGGCTCGACCCCGTCGCTGGCACTGGTAGGTCCTCGCAGCTCCCACCAGCGATCCTCACCTACGAGCCCTCGTCGTTTGACATCACCGTGCCGGTGCTGGTCATTGGCACCGGGCTGGGCGACGAGAGCGAGAACGCGTTGTTCCCTCCCTGCGCCCCCGTGGACGTGAACCACACTGAGTTCTACCGCGAGTGCAGGGCTCCGTGCTACCAACTGGTGACCAAGGACTACGGCCACCTCGACATGCTAGACGACTATGCTCCCAAGCTTGTCACCTGCCTCTACAAGGAAGGGAGCAGCTGCAAGGACGTGATGAGGAGGACCGTCGCCGGGATCATGGTCGCCTACTTCAAGGCCATCATGGGCGAGGAAGATGGTGATCTCATGGACATACTCAAACACCCTGGGCTCACACCGACGACACTGGACCCTGTCGAGTATCGGTTGGCATGAGCAGAAAAGATATCTAACGAAAACGGCCAAAAACAGGGCCACGAATGGGCCGCGGGTCCCGGTCCCACCGGAGTGGCCCACAGGGCCCAAGGAACCCACCCATGGGGCCCCACACAAAAAGTTCAAGGTTGGATCCATTTAGGACTTATACTGATGACCAGTCAATCCAGTCATAATAGCTTCATAATAAGTTATTCAATTTGTTGTTTTTTGTAATCTGGACATCTGGTTGTTTTCTCCATGTAAGTCTTTACTTTAATTCATTCATCTCTGTACTATGTGAACATTTGCCATAATAAAATTCGATCATTTTTTTAATCTGCTTGGATGACTAAAGATGGCAATGGCCCCGATACCCGATACCCGACGGGTATTTGATCCATTAGAGGATTGGGATGGGATCATATCTTTACCCGCGGGCATCTCAATGGGCAAGAATCCATCCCCGACGGGTATAGCGGGTACGAGAACGTTCCCTGTTTACCCGTCCCCGTTACCCGTTGGGGAACCCGACTATTTGAGCTGTCATGCGAGTATTAGGCCCAAAGAAGCTCAACATAGATATTTTTGTCCAAATCTGAACAATCATATATATATATATATATAGTTCTCTCTGTCACCTTTGCTCGTCCTCCTCGCAACATCGCTCCTTCTCCTCGGCATCTCCGAGACTCCGACACTTATACCCGGGTGAAGAAGAAACATCTCCGATTGCAAAGCTGTGACCCTAAGTGTCCTTGTTTATTGGGTATGCAGTACCCATCAGGTATCTGTTACCCGACCGATGCCCGACGGATACAGGGATGGGCAAGAATCTATACCCGAGACAGTTAACGGGGATGGGGACGGGATGAATTCTCCGTAGCGGGGAAGAGAAGGTTCCGACGATACCCAACGGGTATATCCCCATTGCCATCTTTAACCCCAAGCCGGCAAGCCCCAAGGCCTCCGGTCCCCCGACCCGCTCGCCGTCGACCTGCCGCCCGCTGCCCCTGCCGCCGAAGGGGTTGTCATATCAATTATCAAATAGGGACGTCGGTGCAGGTGATGCCTCTCAGCGGGGCGTACGGCCGTAGACGGCTTCCGATTCCTCCTGTCATACCTCGCAACTTCAACCCCTTGGCAAGTACTCACTCCGGTCCACAGATAAAATCATCACAGGACGTGTGCAGATTAAATTTCGTTAACTTTAATTAAATTTGTAGAAAATACGTGTAATATTTATATCTCTAAATAAGTTTATTACAAAAATATATTCAATAATCTATCAATGATACTAATTATGTATTATAAATATTAATATTTTTTATATATAATTGGTCAAAGTTAAAAAAATTTCAAGAAACGAGAACGACTTCTAATTAGGGAGGGAAGGAGCGACATTACTACATGATTAGACATCACTGCTGGATTTAGGTGAACCGACAGTGATGTACCTATATCGTCGGGTTTCAGCTTCAAAATTAGAAAATGATTGGGGCTAGGCCAAAACCGACGGTGAAGGTCCACATCACTATCGACTCTTGACTTGCACCGGCAGTGGCTTGACGGCAACTTATCACTGCTGGCTCTAGCCAAGAACCGTCAGTGATTCTAGGCTATCAATGCCGGTTCAAGACAAGAACCGACGATGATAACATCATAGTACAAAAGGCTGGCACCGTCTTCTCCTTCCTTCTCTCTTCCATCGCGAGCATAGAGGTACGTATTTGGGCCGCTCCCTCCATTATTGCGGCTGCTCTTTACTATGAAGCTAGCTCTTGGATTTGGAAGAATGGGTTGATCTTCTTGCTTTAAGGTAAGAACAAGCATCCACTCATTTGATTTTGTTGCTTAATTAGCGTTGTTTTGATGGCTACATTGCTTGATTCTCATTCTAGTTCTTTCTCCATTCTAGAGAGCACTTTCGAATTGAACTTTGTGCAAGGCTTCCAAGCAAATTATGGTGAATCCATCATCCAAAAGTTTGGTGTCTTTAACACATTTAAATTCCTAGCTAATTACATGGTGCTCAAGATGATTGTTAGTATGTGAGGCTATAATTAGTTCTGGTTAGGAGTAAAGTAGATTTTTTTACAATTTTGGTGAGCAAATTAATTCATGTGTCACCTACCAACACATTGTTTGGAGCTACATTGCTGTTCATGATCATGTTTCCAATTTTAGTATTTTTTTAATTAGTGTCTATTTTTATGTGGCATAGAGTAGAATAATTGTTCTTTATTATTATGCAATAATTGTTTTTTTATGGGGCTACGATTTTCAATTTATATGGCCGAGGACTATCAATTTCAATTTTCCAATAATTAGTGTACAATAATATTTTTCAAAAATGGGGTGACTAAATTAAATAAGTGTACAATAAATTGTAGTTTTAAGCAACAATTGTTGTTCATGAAGCTCCACTTGTTATTAATTTCTCTATAATTACTATCTCAATATTTTGTTGTGTAGAGATGGATCGAGAGTGGATGTATCATTCCGAACGGACAAGCGGTACATGCAAGGCATCGGTAAGTTTCTCGCCGATGCCAAAGCCCATGATGGGAATGAGAACCATGTCTTCTACACATACAAAGATTGCATGAATCGAAGGAAATGGGCTCAAACTGAGTCTATATGATCACACTTGATTACCAAGGGGTTCATGCCAAACTATATGATATGGACTATGCATTGCGAGGTTGGTGTGAATGTTCCATAGAAAAATGATGATGATGTGGCCATGCCTGACGTAGCCCTCCACGAGGCTATTACGAACCCTGTGTTAACATGGAACCTATGGCCATAGTTAATGATGTGTTTAGGAACATGCTAGTTGACAACATCGAGGATAACAATGGTATTTCTCAGATGCTACGTAATATAGAGAGCAAATGTCTTAGTGAAACACAGCTAAGAAAGTTAGAGAAAATGAGACAAGATGGCAAAACTCCACTGTATAAGGATTATCCAGTGAGCAAACCAGAAGCCGACATCATGCTGTTAGAGTTCAAATCAACAAACGGATTGAGCAATAGAGGTTTTGATCAGTTGTTAGGTATGATAAGGAAACTGCTCCTAGGAAAAAACGAGTTGCCAAAAAAGACATACCTGGCCAAGCAAATGATATGTCCCATCGGCCTCGAGATTGAAAAAATACATGTGTGTTCAAATGATTGCATATTGTATCATGGAGACAAATACAAAGATTTAGATGCGTGCCCTAAGTGTGAAGCTCCACAGTACAAGGAAGGATCATCAGATGAGGGTACCAAGACCAGAGGTCCCATAAAGGTCGTTTGGTATTTCCTTATAGCTAACCGGGTGCATAGGCTGTTTGCAACTACAAAGTCAGCCAAGCTATTGCACTGGCATAGCGAAGAGCGTAAGAAAGATACAATGATGAGGCACCCTGCTGATGGAAAGGACTGGAGGACTGTTAATACTATGTTCTATAAGAACATCGGTGGAGTGGTAAGGCACCTTTGGTTTGGTTTGAGCACAGATGGGATGAATCTTTTCGACCAGGTTAGAAGCATTCATAGCACCTAGGCAATGACCCTTTGTATATACAACCTTCCACCTTGGCTCTGTATGAAGCGGCCGTACATCCAAATGTCACTACTGATCCAAGGACCAAGACAACCTAGGAATGACATCGATGTGTTTCTAGAACCAGTGATCGATGAACTGATGAAGATGTTTGAAAAGGGTGTGAAGGATGTTTGGGATGAGTATAAAAAGGAACATGTCATGATCAAGGCAGTATTTATCGCTACAATCACCAACCTACTAGGGCGAGGTTGCTTGTCTAGAGAGAAAACAAAAGGCTATACTGGATGTGTCGAGTGCTTAGGCGACACTGATGCGGTACATCTACCAAAGAACTCAAAGATTGTTTATATGGGACACTATAGGTCCCTACCTAAGGACCACCCTTACCGCAGGAACAGAAAAGATTTTGACGAGACTATTGAGAAACGCTTACCTTTAAAATATCGAGATGGGCCTGTGATACTTTGAGAAGTCAACAAACTAAATGTTGACCTTGGGAAGGGGAACGGGACAGTAGCAGCGCCTGATTGGAGCGTCTAGAAGAAAAAAACAGTTTTCTGGAAACTACCTTACTAGCGGTCTGAGTGTACGCCACTGTCTTTATCCCATGCACATTACTAAAAACATGTGCGGTAACACACTTAACACCTTGATGGACACCAAGGGGACATCAAAAGATTCACTAGCCACACGTCTAGACATGTAAAATTTGGGAATCAGGAAGGAGTTGCATCCCGTGGCCTTAATTAGTGTTTGTTTAGGTTTAATTTGCAAGGTTTAAGTTTAATTCGCCTTTGTTTTTCATGTAATTTATGTGCTCTGCAACAAGAACTCTACATTCTGGTGTCGTATTGGTCTCAAACTTTTTCTTAGACTTGCACGTGCCATGGGTCAAGGAAACACCAAGTTTGGAATTTTTCTGAGATTGTTTAGTACATTCTTTAGTTTAATTGAATTTCCACGTGACGTCACTGATTAATTAGAGGTTGAATTGAGCCTACCCCAAAACGATCCAGAATGGTGCCAAACTTTTTTGATGGGTCTTATATGCCCTAGGGACTAGAATTTGGTCGAGGTGGATGCAAAGTTCTAGTGTGTCCAACACATAATTGGGCCTCTTTTATCCCGTTTAGCACAAAGAAAAATATATTACTAAATAAAATGATCAGAAAAACCAAAGATCTTGTGTGGGGCCATAATTTGGATGTACATGCTTGAAAAATAATTTGAATCCATTTGGGCATAGGCCGTACATACCTGCTTCACAAACCTATAGAAGCCGTCTAATGGAACAATAACTAAGTACCTATGTTCCTAAGGTTCTAGTGGTTCATATGCATTCTAGAGTCGTATTGGTCTCAATTTTTTTCTCAGGATAGCACGTGCCATAGGTGAAGGAAACACTAAGTTTGGGATTTTTCTGAGATGGTTTGGCACTTTCTCCGATTTAAATAAATTTCCAC